AGGTAAAGCGGTGTTCGCAAGCACGTGCTTTAAACTCGAACATTTTCCTTTTCTAGTGATATGTCATTTGATATTATGTTTGCAATACTCTCTGAAATATAATTTTTTAAAGCCCGATGATTCTTTTGTAATAACCCTGTATAATGTATGGTATATATGCAGCACAATTTTCAATCGCCTCATGTATGTTAGTTATTGTTCAGTTTTAGGAGAAAAGATAAAAATCTCCATATTATATTTTTCCTTATTCTGGCCTGTATTGCAGTAAAATAATTCAAGTATAAAAACAAAAGTAGTTATTTGACACGTTTTATCTTTGAAGAAATAATTTTTTGTAATACACTTAAAAATGGCCGTCGTAAAGTTGATACAACACAAAATCTGGCTCCCATGTATTCACCTTGAGATGTCTCTAAATTGAGGCAAGAATGTAGATTTCAATACTTAATTGATATAATTTTTATATGTAGCTTTTCTATGATGGTGCAAATAATAATAAATAATAATTTTTCAAGGTATGCCATCTGAGTGAAATATTCCTTTGGGAAAGATATCAGAGAGAAAATAAACGTTTATAAAACTGCATTCAGATTTGTAAAACTGCTTTGTATTTTTGCCCAAAGAACGTTCTTACAGCTATCTTTTAAAGCAAAATGCAGCTCGAAAGCGTAATTGCTTCACTGTCAGTTTTATCAAGCCAAAGTTGTGTTCTAATAGCAGTAATAAGGCAATTATAAAATAAAATACCACAGACAGTTGAACATTATAAGATATATTTGCTAGTTTGGTAGCCTTTATGAGAAACAGTATTAACTTGTACAATAAAGTAATCCATCTGCGATCTAAGTATACACCAACCAACGAACCTGGAAAAAAATTGTGGTACACCAGAATGGGAGGAGAGCGAAAAGCCCGACTCCCCATTCAACTCGGTGAATCACGTGCTACTTCCAGAGGAAACTTAACCCCCAAAACTGATTACCCTCCCGCTCCGTGCTAATCATATCACGCCTAATAAGTCGTTTCTTAAAGTTCTGTCTGCGAAATTACACGGACGCCATTCATAATGGGCCAGTTGATTAGAAGCGAACAAAGGGGAATACTAACAAGCTGCGGTATTTCCACCACCACAACTGTCGATATATGTACGAGTATAATTATGAGAAACCAAATGACGAATTCGCTTTGAGGACGTGAATTCGGTTAATTAACGTACCGCCAGGGACGTGACTTGTCGCCACACGTATTTTGGAAGAAATAAAACGGCGTCAAGTAGACTGACTGTACGCTTCTCACGCCTCCGAAACGGATTGCAGCAATGAGCGTATTGAAGAGATGTGCAGCGGAACTTGCTCCAGTTCTTTCGCGTCTCTTCTAGATATCTTACGATTCCGGCACCTTAGCGGGGCTATTGATCATAATTAGGAACAGCTCTTTAGTAACTTTTAGCAAGAATATTAGCAGTAACCTGGGATTCAACCTTGAACCTCACCCTGAAGGTCCTTAATTGAAAGTCAACATCTTTTTCAAATGAAAACCGTCTTTTATAACATCGACAATGAAACATTATGCGTCTTTATGACGTTGAAGATGAGGCTTCAGGTCAAATCCAAGCTCACCATTAAACTACATGTTCAAAGAAAACACATGACCTTGAACTTTTTCTAAAATACACAGAAGATCATTTTTGGATGACTATGTAGCAATAAGTACCTAGTCGTAAAACGAGCGTAAGTCAGTCACACAATGACTATGGCGATAAGCACAACATTAAGCAAGCGAAAAATACATTCTTTAACCTTTGCCTCACTTAGTCTTAGAAATTTCTGACGCAGGTATTGAAAAGCTGACCCATCTCTATCTAATGCCTTGACAAAGTTTTTCATTAGGCCCAACTTGATATGCAGTGGTGGTAATAAAATTGTTTTCGAATCTACTAATGGCATATGCTGTACGTTTTTTTGACCTGGCTCTAGGAATTGACGAACAGGCCAGTTTTGTCTGGTGTAATGAAGTGCCTTTGCCCGACTGTCCCATTCACACAAAAAACAGCAAAACTTTGTGTAGCCTAGCTGCAGCCCAAGTAAAAGTGCAACAACTTTCAAATCGCCACAAATATGCCATTGGTGCTCATCGTATTTTATGCATGTCAATAGGTACTTCATATTGTCATATGATTCTTTCATGTGAACTGCATACCCTACAGGAAGAGATGGTAAAATATTTCCAATATGCAATAACACTGCCTTTAAACTCAATGTTGAACTGTCTATAAACAATCTCCATTCTTCTGGGTTATAGTTTATATTTAAAGCCGCCAGTAAGCCGTTAATGTTACTGCAGAAAACCAAGTTATTCTCCATATTGAAAAACGGTTCTAAGTCTTTGTGGCATTTACGAAAAAACACATACCGAAACATCGTCTTCTAACAAGTTCCACTGCTGCAGTCTTGATCCAAGTAACTCTGCCTTACATTTTGGAAGTTCTAGTAATCTCTTACAAGATCATTTAATTCTGACTGTGTTATTTTGTGCGGTTGGTGGCATGACGTGCTCGGTATAAAATCAGGATCTCTTGACGTTGATGGCACATCTTCTTCCTGACGAATCACTCGATCGCCATGATCTGACTCGTTTTCTGATTCGCAAGTGTAGGACTCTGGGGGTTTTGGAATAGGATTTTCGTCACTGTGAGGCACAGGTCTCATCGTAGATGGTATGTTTGGGTAGTTAATAACCGATTTTTTTTTCTTGGACATACCTGTAGCTTGTCCAACACAAGGTACGATGCAAAATATGATTTGTAGGCTCTCTCCAAACCATTGAGACAGCAAAGCGCATAGACCGTTTTTTGCCATTTAACCAGCTCCTCAGACTTGAAGCACATGTATTACAGCAGATGTAGGGTGCCCACTATTTGTCTTGATCACCTAGTTTACAACCGAAATAAAGCTGATATGCCTTTGTTATTAGTGGAGTAATAGACCGTCTCTGAGACACAAAAGTCACATCACCACACACGTAACAAAACTGAGCTGGATTGTTTACACACTTTCGAGACATCTTGCATGAACGCTGTCAGCCAACTGAGGAAAAAACGGCTAATATAAAACAATATAATGTACACGTATGTATAACGTAACACAATCATGCCGATTACATCATCTTTCCTTGCCGAATATAAAAATGTAGCACGTGCATTCTGGTGAATTACAGTATATTAACACTGTCACAGCAGGAACACATATAATTACCGTATCTCTAAAACTTGAACTAATATTGAAAAAATAAGTTACATTCCGGTTTTAGCACATTAAAAATAGTAATATTTTGTTGATTTTATTTAGGATATTTTTTGGCTGTTGATCAGTGAATTGAATAATACTTCCAAATTCTGACTAGTGAATATAAAATGATCCTTTAAATGCGATACGGTATGTTGTCACCAGTATTAGACAGCCTGTCATCATAGGATGCATAAATGGCAACACTGGCTTAATGATGCCTGGTTGAAGAAGAGATTCGTTAATAAATTCGACTTTCTATCGCCAGATTTTGCAAAACACAAATCAGACAGCATTGAGTGAGGTATGCTCATCAAGTAATGCTAAGCTGGTTCTACAATTTAATAGTCGTGTTGATGCTTCAGCTAGGTATTACGAATTGTAACATAGGGGGAATCCGGGAGACTTGCCCAGGTAAGAGACTTGCCCCTCCGTGATATATTTACTTTAAAATTGCGCACCATAATCTTAAACGAGAGAAAACGGGACGCCCTCTAGTGCTTCTAGGCGTCTACGAAATCCTAGTTGACTTTTCTCAGTTTGTTTTGTATCTGACCCGAGGCATGTGGCTTTTTGCGTTTAAACCAAAAATTAATACTTTTACAAATTTCGTGATTTTTTGGGCAAATTAAAAGGTAAGTTTTAGATTCTTGTGTGGGTATGTTAATTAGTCATTGTAGATTTATGCACCATAAATGTTAAAAGTTGCACTATTCATGATTGCCCAGAGGGGCAACTCTCCCTTTCTGATGTAATTCTAAATTGGTATTTGTTTTTAATTAATTTTAGTAAAAGTTAATCCATTTTTTTTATTACAGATCTCTACAATGCCATTTAAGTACAAAACAAAAGACGGTTCCACTCGCAAAAAACTTGAGAAGGATGTTCTTAAAAATGTACTAGATGAACTAGCCAAAGGTACATCTATTCGAAAAGCTTCTGCAAAATATGATACTGATCGGAGGACTTTGAGACGTTACAAAAACAATGAAAATAAACTTGAAAAAATAGAAACTAAAGGCCAGTATAATACTTCACAAATATTCACCATACAAGAAGAGAAGCTTCTAGTTGAATATTTTTTAAATTGCAGCAAAATGCACTATGGACTTACTCGAAAACAAGGAATGAAATTAGCTTTTAAGTTTGCAGTTTCGAATTCCAAAAAAATTCCAGAAAGTTGGTCAAAAAATAGTATGGCAGGGAAGGATTGGATTCGCGGTTTTTTGTCAAGAAATCCCGAAATTAGTTTAAGAACTCCGGAGGCAACAAGCTTGTCACGATCTACAAGCTTCAATCGGAAGAATGTAAACGATTTTTTTCAAAACTTAAGGATTGTACGAGAAAAATTTAAGTTTGAACCACAAAATATTTATAACTGGGATGAAGTAGGATGTACTACAGTTCAGGATTGTCCTAAGGCATTGGCCAGTAAAAAATCTAAGCAGGTTGGTCAAGTTACTTCATCAGAGAGGGGCACTTTGGTGACAGTTTGTTTTGCAGTCAATGCAATTGGAAGCGTTATTCCACACTTTTTTATATTCCCTCGTATCAAATATCGAGAAGACTTCGTTTCTGATGGCCCAGAAGGTTCTAATGGGGATGCTTATTCAACAGGATGGATGACTGCTAGAAGCTTTCTAAAGTTTATGGAGCAATTATAAAAATATAGCAACGCGTCACCAGAAAATCCTGTTTTGCTCAGATTTGATAACCATGAGCATTGAAACTGTAAAATTTGCTAAGGAAAATGGGATTACGTTGTTAACGCTGCCTCCGCATTGTAGTAACAAGATGCAGCCATTAGATGTGGCCGTCTATTCCCCACTTAAAGTAAGATACAATGCTGCATTAAGTAACTGGATGATAAGTAATCCTGGAAAAACAGTAACAATTTACAATATTCCCACATTTATTAAATCAATAATGTCAGCAGCTTTTATCCAAGCAAATATCCTTAGTGGATTTAGAAAGTGTGGGATTCAGCCGTTTAACCCTGACATATTTACTGATGAAGATTTCTTGTGCTCAGATGTGACCGACAGAGATAATTCTGACGGCCAAGTCCAACTAGATTTTTCCGGATGTCTGGCAGAAGATTCGTTAGCAATTCCATCTACTTCTGGTGTTACAGCAACAGGAATTAAGCAAACTCAAATCGCTGTAAATTTGGAAAATATAAATAAAAACGCATCCAACGAAATTCCCTCAACTTCTGCTATTACAGAAGCAGAAATCGTGCAAACTACACCTGAAAATATGGCTGTAAGTACGACAAATATAAGTAAGGACATGCCTACAAATATATTTGATAATACACCCAAAAGTACACCATTTAAAGCTACATCCTCTTCTCTCACAACACCTGAGATGATAAGGCCATTTCCAAAAGCTGGTCTCAGAAAGACAACAAGGCGTGGCCGTCAACCAGGAAAAACTAAAATATTAACCCAAAGTCCAGAGAAGGATGAAAACTATGATAATTTCCAAAATGAATCACCAATAGAAAAAACTAAACAAAAAATGGATCCAAAAAACAAGGCAAACAAACTTAAAAAAAAGTGATGGACACTATTAAAGAGACTAAAAATGAAGAAACAAAAAAGACAAAAACAACGTCTAAGAATGAAACAAATAAGAAGGCTAAATGGACAATAGATTTATCTTCAAGTGATAGTGGACATCTTACGCTGAAAGTTCTGATGATGATCAGTGGGCAGAATCTCCAGATAAAGATGACAACTGGTACTGTTACATTTGTCAAACTGACGATATGCTTGATATGAGGCTTTGTATTGTTTGTAAAAGATATGTCCATGAAGTATGCGTCGGGCTAACAAAATCAGATACCGAACTGTTTAAGTGTCATGAGTGTGAATAAAAGTTAGGCTAATATCTTTGTTCATATTAGACTTTTGTTTACTTTTATTTTTCATTCTTACTTTCATACTTTTTTATAATTAATTTTATTTGTTTTTTGCATTAAACTTATGTTTATTCTGATTTCAAAGAGCTAGATTTAGTTTCGTTCTTGAATTTGTAAAGTTTTTTGTTTTATTTTTTGAGTTTTGGAATACAAAAGTTATTATTTACATTTGTTTTTATTTAATAACGGGGGTGGGCAACTCTCCTTCTGACTATGGGCAAGTCTCCCGCATATGTGGGAGAGTTGCCCATGTCTTCAAAAAAATAAAAAGACTATATATTTTTTTCTGACTTATTTTTTTAAGGTTTAAATGATAAAACAAGGTTCCTAAAAATATATGCTACGAAGTCATCTGAAATTTATTGATTTATATAAATAAATATATAATAAATAGGAACAAATTTTATCACCAATAATAAATTGGGAGGGGCAAGTCTCCCGGACTTCCCCTACTGTATATGCATGATTGTCATCCTCCTCCTAGAGGATATGCTCTATCCAGGAAACTAGCGAGCATTTGTGATATATCAGTATATGCCAGAAATGAAGATATCTATCATTTTTGAACTGTACTTACATTACGTCGAGATGAAAATGAAGTATGATATAATACTGGACCTTGTCATACCAAAAGTTAGACGCTTCGATAAGATGCGTGTGGCTATACCTGCTGTTCCCATCAACTGAGATGTTTTGTTGACTATCGCTTCTTTGCTGATAAGAAGTCTAAATCGTATGCCACTGGTAATTACCATGGTAACGTCAGAGTACCATTGGGATCCAAGTAGTTTTATTATGACCTGGTGGTTATTCCAGAAGACCAGTAGCCCGAGGCCGTGATTGAGTTCCGGAATGTTTCAATAACCTGTGTTACTAAATTCCACAATTCCCTGCTAGGATCTTGACCTTCAGCGCCAACCACCTCCATATAAGGCAAATCATTATTTTCTTTTCCATTTACCTCTGCTTTATAGCACTGTCGCTACCACAGCTTATGTCGCTCCTTTACCCTGCCTGTGTTGTACTTCCACAACTTTACGGCCCTGCAGCTGCGGTAATGAAAGAGTATGTAGAGGCATGTCCCGTTTTCCCACCAAACGTTACCATTAACTCAAGGCTGGCGAGAGTTGCTTCCGACAATGCAGTTGCACGAAAATTCGCGATATTCGATAAAATTAATTATAATTCCTAGCGTATTTCGCGACTGCGTTATCGCCGGATGCGATCGGAGCGTCGGTGCAGAGATGGCCTTAATGTGATACACCATGTGCGGAACGCGCCCGATAAGGAAGAAACGCGACGTAAATGCTAACGACGCGGATAGAGATACTGTCACATAATCAGCGATCGGAGGATGCAAAGAGGAAGAAGAAAGGAGTTTTAGAATAGGAACAGTCTTCCTTGAGAGGCAGCTAATACGAAAAGAAATCTACCTAGCCATGAAAAAAAGGACGTACGATTTCTTTGATAATTTCATTTTTGAACATAATCACCTGAATGCAGTAGTGCCATTTGTCATCCATTGAACTTAATAATAATAATGATGATAATGAACATCCTTTATTGAGGACGAAGTGCAGCTTGAAGCTATTTTGCCACTTAAGCCTTGTAAAGTTATGCGACTTACCTAAAATCACAGTAGATCAGGTCAACCATGCTTTATCTAAACTTAGATCCAAATGCTCTACTGGTCCGGATTCAATACCTTCTTTTTTACTTAAAGATTGTTGTCATGTGCTCGCTGAGCCTCTCACTTTTCTATTTAATTTATCTTTGGAACAGAGTTGTTATCCTAAGGTTTGGAAAATATCTCGCATTACTCCTGTTTTCAAAAAAGGTGACCGAAATAATATTGAAAACTATAGAGCTATTGTGATCCCAAGTAATATTGCTAAAGCATTTGAATCTGTTGTTCACGAAATCATATTCACTCATATGAAACACATCATCACTCCACATCAGCATGGCTTTTCTCCTGGCAGATCGACTACATCTAATCTTGCATGCTTCAAACAGCATGCTGCTGAAATTTTAGATACTTGCGGACAGATTGACGTTGTCTATACGGATTTCTTAAAAGCATTTGACAGACTTGACCATGGAGTACTAATACAAAAGCTTTTAAGATGTGGTATATCACTTGGATTCGCAAATTTCCTCAGATCTTATCTGTTGGACAGAATACTTTTCGTTGAGTACCGTGGTTTTAGGTCTGTCAGTGTTTCTGCGACATCTGTTGTGCCCCAGGGCTCCGTCCTGGGTCCGCTATTATTCGCTATATTTGTGAATGATCTCAGTGGCCAACCAAATTGTTGCAACTTATTGTACGCAGACGACTTGAAATTATTTTCTAGAATTGACACAATTGTCGATTATGTGAAGCTTCAGGATGAACTAGTACGTCTGTATGAGTGGTGTTGCCTGAATGAGCTGTATCTGAATATTACAAAATGCCAGACTATGTCTTTCATACGTAAGCAGAATATAATTGGTTATGCTTATCACATAAATGGTCAAGTCTTGGATGGTTGTTCGATTGTGAGGGATCTAGGTGTTTCTTTCGACCCACAGTTAACTTTTGTGCAACACATTACTGAAATTGTAACCGGTGCGCACAAAACGATGGGTTTCATACTTACGTGTGGCAAGAGCTTCAATAATGCTAAAACTCTTTTATTGTTATTCAATGCGTTTGTTAGATGTAAGCTCGAATACTGTAGTATAATTTGGTACCCAGCATATGGTGTACATTCGGACAGCATTGAAAAGATCCAGCGACGCTTTGCTAAATATTTATGGTTCAAGGAAGATGGGATTTATCCTGAGGCTGGATTTAGCAATGACTTATTGCTCAGTAGATTTAATATGGTAAATTTATCTAAGCGCAGAAATTACTGCGTTGTGGTTTTCTTATATAAAATTTTGAACAACACAGTTGATTGCCAGTTTCTTTTAGAAAAGCTGTCATTACACGTACCGTACCGAAACATAAGGTTTAACAATACCAATTTCCATTTACCTGTGCCTCGCACCAATGTATTACTTTTTTCACCATTATATGTAATGTGTAACAACTATGAAAAAGTAAAGAATTTAGTAGACATTTTTCATTGCACTATATCAATTTTAAAAAGGTCTTTTTTGACTGTAGGTTAAGAACTTATTTAGATGTAATGTGTATAATGTACTTGATACGTTGTTTATTGATTTTTTTTTCTTTTTTTTGTGTATTTTGTATATTTCCTGTTCGTTAAATGTAATCATCTGTTTGAGCAGTGTACTAACCGCAAATAAAATAAAGTACGGACAAAAAATTACAATAACAAACGTGTAAAAGTAATATATCTAAGTATATAATATTGTAATAACAGTGGACAATTTAATTTACTTATACATATGAATGTTCAGCGAAAAGGAAAGATTTTGAGAAGCAAGAAGTCAAACTATGCTGGGGCTTCCTCTTGCCTCTAAGAAAGTCGTCGACGGCCATTGTCTGAGTCAAAACGGCGTTCTCAAGGATTTTTCTTTATTAATCCAAATATAAAAGTCAGACGGAGCCAAGTCCGGCCTATAGGGTGGATGGTCTATTTCAACGAAGCTGCATTCCTGCACAATTGGTCTAATTTTAGTAGCCATATGCACAGTTACATTGCCATGAAACAGAAACACTTCTCGATTGGAAGAATCGTAATTTTTCAGCGTGTTCGCATAGACTTCCGCATTTATTGAGGTCGCTTTTGCATATATTCAAAGAGAAGGATGCCCCTGACGTCCCAAAAAACTGTTATTAATTTTATAGCAAAGGGGTGCGTTTCCTGCCATTTTGGGAACTCAGGATCCCAGTGATGCAACCAAGCTTCGTCGCCGTTGGTCAAAGCTTCCAAATGACTAGTCCTGGAACCCATACTGGCTGACACATTACATATGTTCTAGTTGTCTTGCAAGATATTTACTAAGCTGGGTTACGGTATATTCAATTCCATTACTGATGATAGATACCTTCTCACAATGATCTTCGAGAACCGTGGCCTTTTTGAGTCATTTCATTATTTGTTGCTGTTTTGGCTCGTCCACTTCTGCATAATTTTATTGTGTAAATGGCACATCATCCCCGCAGACGTCAACCATTCTCTCAAGAACTGTTTACGGCTGATGGCCTTGATATTAATTTTGAGAGTCTTGACACATAGGAGTAATTCAATAATCATCAATTTTTTCTCGAGAAAATGAATGAATAAATCGTGATATTAGAGGCATTGCGGCCATCACAAGGGCCAGTGCATACTTCGCTGAAACGGGCCCTTATGCAGCTCTACATTCTTTAGATCACAAGCCTCGGCCTTTAAGCGAAGTTGAGAACCGCCTTGAGTCGAAGCACCTTGACGTCTTGAGGGTCCAAAGTAATGGACTCCAGTATAGTCTGCCTATATTAGCTCAGAGCTTCACAGCGACACAAAACGTGCGCCGAGGTCTCTTCCTCTACTCTTCAGCGCTCACACAAGGGATCCTCAGCACCATCACGTGCAGGTGGTGCCTTAACGTGTTATGGCCAGACAACAGTCCCATCAGCAACCTTAGGTTGGCTCTACCCAGAGATAAGCAGAAACGTCCACCCTTAGCACTGGACCCTTCAATAAGTACAAAGGCAACCTGGTTTTACTTGGAGTGTCTTCAATGCCTTGCATAGTCGTTAGTTAGCTTAGCACAATAATAATAGCTTTGCTTCTTATGTATGGAGAAGGGTATTTTCCATTAAGCAACAAATAGTAGTTGCTAACCAGAGGTCAGAAGGAAGCCTCAAATCGTACAAGGCGGCCTTCTTTACCATTTAACAATTCTCCTACCACCTCCAAGGGAGATCCAAATAAGGTACATGTACCAACATTCTATCATGATAGGTAGCGTAGCATCTATTATCCTCACTCCTCACTTCCTTTGTCAATGTAGATTTCAATATCTGGAAATAGACTTTTCCATTTCTAGTGCCATCTAACAAGAAGCGTTCCCTTTCGTCGTATCCAGCTTCGGCGCCCTTCTTATGGAGCTTTTCTATTATTAAACTAATTGGCGGAATACGAGCCACCACCAGAAATCCATCTGTAGGCACCGTTTCTCAAGCGCAGATTACCCGCGGTACCCACCACCCTTCGCTGGGGTGTAAGCAAGGACCCTTAGTCTCGCGACTTCATCTGTGCTAAGACTAGACGCATTGACTGCACTGCTCTAGGGCAGTATTCTGGTTCCCTAAAACATCTTCAAATGTGCTGATACGACGCCATTAGCACTGTTTTGGGTATATCCTTGATGTGATGTTTATAAGTCGTACGATATTCTGATGAACGAAAATGTCGTACTTTCGACCAATGGGACTCACCCAGCGACTTACAGTCAGTGAGTCTAACATATTTTCCAATGCATGGTTTTTTAATGTGCTCCTCTTTTAAAGTAAAATAGTCTTCTCGAGCCATTCCTGAACCTGGTTATAGAGCGAAAACGATTTATTCCTAAGCTAATCAACAAAAAACACGTTTTCGTGTTGCTATTTTTTACTGAATCATGAGATACAGATGCTAGGATTACACATAGATAAGGACGTGAGGCAGATAGATGGCCCTCTCGGCTTTGAGGTCACATAAGCCTCTTGTCGAATTTTTCATAACCTTTTCATCGAGCCAGCGTGTCTCCTCTTCTTTCAGTGCACAAATGTTTGTGAGCGTATTGGCACAATTCTCTGACTGCAAATAACCCCATAAAAAGCAATCCAATGGTGTTGAACCACACGATCTACAGAGCCAGCTCTGATCACCGAAACAAGAGGAGTCATGAGCAGGATATTTTCATGCAACAATTGAAACGTTTTATGGGCTTTTCACATCTATTGTGGTAACGCCTCAATGAAACCACACGTTACTCAAACCAATATTATGGAAATTGGGCAGAAAGAAGCCCACAGATAGATTTAGAAGGTTAACTGCGGTCTACGATTCGATGCTTCACAGGATATATGTGATATGGCACCGAGTTATTGAAACTTGTTGTCAGATTTAGGCAAAGAGATGCACAGATGTTTGTTTGTGTATTGAAAAAGGACATTCAACGCTTCATTACCGAAATTCAGCCATATTTATGTTAAACAGCCGTGGAAAGTTTCAATAAAACCAGTGTAAGCATATATATACGTACAAGTATGACCCTCTTCTCTGTATTTTATCATTCAATAAAAAAAGCATATAACAACTACAAGAATTGACAGCCTGCCGGCAAGGTGAATGTACTACTATTTAGCCTCCTAATTTCTACTAAATGCTTTCTTCTTTCAATCGTTACACCGATAAAATTTCTCTCTTTCTTTGATTAATCTGAACAATACCCGTAATGCATCTTAAATACTTTATCGGCATTCTTTGTCTAATGCCTCTTCACGAAGTAAACAGGAATTTACAATACTGACATTTCAATACTGATCAGTGGAACAATGGTCATGACACCAATTGCAATTGTAATTAATTTAAAAGAAATGATTTTGTGGGAGTATTAACAGTTAGTTTTTATCTATTCAACTTTAACCAATGACCGCATA